CATACAATTGCGCAATTTCAACCTCTTCAGCATCGATGGTTGGTGCATAAACTTGGATTATTGTGATGTTGAAAGGTCTGCATTGGATTCGTATTGAAATCATTCTATCATTTTTGAGATTGTATCCCAGTACAGCTTTTCCCACTCTTTTGTTGACTATGAGGGCTATTCCATTTCTTCTACGGGATTCTTGCCCACAATAGTAGATATAATAATCATCTGAATTTAATTCGCCCATTCCCGTCCATTTTAGTTCACTGACGCCCAGGATGTCAATGTTTTATTCTTGCCATCTCCTGTTTGTTCACATCCAGCTTGCCAGGGTTCATAGATCTTACATTCCAGGTTCTTATGCAGTATTTTTCATTGCAGCATTGGACTTTCCTTTCACTTCGTCCGTAGGTGAGTGTCCTTTCGACTTTGGCCCAACCACTTCATTAACTCTGGAGCTACCTTGTCCTGTCCTCCGCTCTTCCTCAGTAGCATGTTGGACACCTTCCGACCTGAGGGGTTCATCTTCCAGCATCATATCTTTTAGCTGTTTGTTTCTGTCCATGGTGTTTTCATGGCAACTGGAGTGGGCTTGGGTTGGGTGTTCCTGCACAGCAGGAAAGCTTCTCTGAATTATTCAAGCCCCTTTGCCACGACAAGGCAGTAATCTGTGAAGGGGGTCAGTCCTTTTTGAGGTCACTAATTCATTGCCATATGCCTGTCTGTCTTGGGTGTTCCTGCACAGCAGGAAAGCTTCTCTGAATTATTCAAGCCCCTTTGCCACGACAAGGCAGTAATCTGTGAAGGGGGTCAGTCCTTTTTGAGGTCACTAATTCATAGGTTTGCCATATGTCACAAACAACCTGATAGCAGTTTGTGAGAATCGCCACTGATAAATTTGATAGCTCGTAACAAAAACATGCTTCATTTCTCATGATATAACTGAATTATTCTAGCTTCCCACATTTTATTCTAGCTTTCCACATTTTATGCATTTTATGATTTTTTAAAAAGACTTTGCTTATGCCTTTAAGTACTTTTCTGTTCGTCACTCTCTTTATCCACAGTTCAAATGTTTCTTTATATATATATATAAAGAAACATTTGAACTGTGGATAAAGAGAGTGATCAACATACATACATACATACATACGTACGTACGTACGTATGTACGTACGTATGTACGTACGTATGTACGTTTATATATGTATGTATATGTATGTATATATGTGTATATATGTGTGTGTGTGTGTATATGTATGTATGTATATGTATATATTCGTATTAAATCCAA